GCTCGTTAACTTATCGAACGAAATTAACGAGTCGAACACGAGCTTCTTACATAGCCGAACACGAGCTGTTCGCGAACAACGAGCCGTTTTGACAGCCCTACTTCTAATAACCTTCTAACTCAAATTGTCACATACATCGCACATACAACAAAAATCAAAAGAAGGGAAAAGAAAACTACAATTACCTTTCTCCAAGGACCAGACTTTGAAGAAGTTTGCAATGAAGCTGTCGCCTGCATTAAGATAATGATTAGCTTGCATCTCAAAATCATGAAATTGCAATGAACAGAACAAAAAAAGCAAAATTTACGCCATCTATTTGACTGCTCTGCCAGACATAAAATGAGAAAAAAACCTTCGAAATAAAAATGTCAGTAAAATACATAATTTAAATATTAAAGATAAAATAAGCATGTAAAAACACCGTATAGTGCAGAAGAGTATCCAACGAAAAATACTGCTTAGAACTCAAAAGAATGCACTTTGACGAGATCTTAAAGCAGTTTTTATATAGAATTCCAACTGGTTGAAACTAAATCAACTCAAATAAAAAGCCCCGTTTCTTTTTCCTATTGCATTCTCCAGGAGGTCAGCTTATGATTTCTAGCAGGGGAATCACTTCACAGTTATCTTTTATTTAAATCAGATAAGCTTTGAATCATCTAAAGAAGGATTTCTGAGTATTCTTTTATTTAAACCTGATAAGCTTTGAATCATCAAAAAAAGGATTTATGAGTATTCTTTTTTTGAATTTGACAAGTTTTGAATCATCAAAAGAAGGATTTCTCAGCACTCCATCCACACTATTAACTGGTTCTCGCAATACTGCTGTGATAGACGAGTTTCCATGCCCACCGACTTCGAATAGTCCAACATGCATGATTGCTATCCAAATTCAAGTTACTTAAATGAGGTTCAAGCTCAGTCAAGCACGCTTCATTCCTTTGTGAGTTGTAAACACTAATGAGTTAGGGCCCGGGGGGCAGCGTATGGGTGGGGCGTCGTTTTGAAACCGCCGCCTGTTTGTTTGTTTCTCACGGCTGTACCGCGTATTTTATTTTATATTACACGCGGATCGTGGGTCTATCCCCGCGATCTGCGTTTTCCATCCTAGATTTTACTACGGTGCCCTCGGGCCAAAGTCGCTCCTCTCCTCTTTCGTTCTTTCGGCGCTCCTCTCCTTCTCCTTGGCCGAAGTCGCTCCGCAGGAGTCGCTCCGCAGGTAAGGTATGTCCTCCACTCCTCCGTCTGCTCCTCCCTCCGCTCTTCTCGTCCTTCTCCTCTTTTGTTTCTCCTTCTGCTCCTCCCTCCGCTGCCCTCCCTCCGCTGCTTACAGTTCCTTCTGTGGAAACTATCGGTGAATATGGAGTAGTTCCGCTTTAGGGTTGATGAATATTTATTGTAGAAATGTAGATCCAGTAGTTTTCGGTGAATGTGGAGTTGAATATGGAGTTGAATGTGGGGGAAATGTAGATTTGTGATTTCAACTTTCTAGATTTAGATTTGTTATTTTTAAATGCTTCATCTACGATTTGAGTGAATGTGAGGGATTTCTTCTTGTTTCTGTGGCTATGAAAAATTGAAAACATAATCAATCTTTCTCCTTATGTCGAAAATTTTTGGAAATTTTAATCCTATTTTTTTTCTCCTACTGATCGATGCTAATTTCTTAAGAGGGGTGTCGTTTTTGCAGTTTACTGATTGCTTTTGAGCTTTTAGAGGTAACTTCTATGAACTTTCATGTGTTCAATCTTTCTAATAACTCATTCACTGGCATATATGTGTCTCATTTCCTAATCACATTTGATGTGCTGAAGGATATGATTTATGTTTTTATTCCTATAGATTTGGTGAATTGCAATCATTTGGAATTACTTTGGGAGGCGCCGATCAGTGGAAGAATTGATTGGAAAAATATAACTCACTCTTGTTGTAATGGTTTGATATACTTCAAGAATCAGATCATCTGCATTCCAACATGAAAGAAAATTCTATAGTGATTGAATTGAAGTGTAGTCCTATCTGCATTTGTAGGGGTCCTAGATGCATGATGGCACAGTTAATGGTTCAATTTCATTGGATCGATGTGATGCTAAGCAATTTATTTATGAATGTCTTATTACAAATGATCAATATGTTTATCATTGTCATTTCTTATTCAATGCTTGTTGTGGAAACTGAGATCTATATATTTATAATATCTTAAATGCCAACATTGCGATGATAGACATATTGTTTGGTTTATTCCATGCATGTTGTAGAAATTTGATTTGTTTGGCTCTCAGAATTTTATCTAACGTTGACCTTATTTTATAATTAATGTGGATATATTGCTTTATGATGGATAATAGCTTCAACTCTTATATGGTGGATAACGGTGGAGCAGTTTGGACGACCACATAACTTCATTGTTGGCAATCGCTGTCTCCATATTTCGATAAGTATACTTTCTATATTTCCTCAATTTGTTTACTAATCTATTCTATTTTTAACAAGTGTCAGAGCCAACATTTCCCAGGACACCCCAGATCGCAGTTCGTCGATATCAACATTTCAGAACACTGCATCTGGTTTGAGAGCTTTCATCTCTACGGTATCCCAGTCGGACAGCTTTGCTCAGGGTTCTGAAGTGTCAGAGCCAGGTGGAATGGGCCGTGATATGCTGCTACATTATCATATTTTTAATTGTCATTTTAACAGGTTTTTTTTTATGGGCTCTCATTATACTTTGTAGTAATATGTGCAGGTGCATTTGACTTTTGTATGTGTAACACATTCGTTTGATGCGATCGGATATGTTTTAGTTATATAAATATAAATTAACTTTTTGGTATTTTCTTGTCTGAACAGTGATCTTTAATTTTGTTGAGAAAAGAACAAATTCTGCTGCACAGATTATTCATTTAATTAAAATTTTTTTTTCAAATAAGTTGTTTACAAAACGAACTAACCAAACAGCTAAACTGCTTATTCAGAACAGGGGCAGAATAGTCAATTTTCCAGAGTCAGTTGTTTTCCATAAGCGTCAATCAAACAGTCAGACAGCTTACCCGGATCAGCTGCTCATCAGCAGATTATCAGGATGCAGATTATCAGGATAAGTGCAGATTATCAGGATAAGTTGTTTATCAGCAGAAGTTGGATAAGCTGCAGCTGCCCCAAACAGATCCTTAGTCAACCCTTTAGGGCTTCTAATTACTTGCTTTCTTTAGGATTAGGTTTGCATTGATAGTTCTATTATTTTTTTTGGTTATGAACTGATTTTGCAGACTTCTGCTTTTGGTTTATGCTATCCAGAGACTATTTCCTCCATTTTCTTCCATTCGGAGACTTGTACTATATTCTTCCTCAAGTAACGAATTTGTATCTTGAAGAGAACAGGTGGTAGATCCTCCCTATCAATCGTAGCACACCATAAGTGTCGGATTGGTGTTTCTCTGCCTTCTTCCCTCTAAGGGACAGCCCCCGTACTAAATTTTCTTTCTTCAATCCTTGTTGATCCAAAAATTTTTACTTCTTACCATTCTTTAACATCCCTACAAGTGGATTAGGTTTGCTTTGACAGTTCTATTATATTTTTTTGTTATGAACTGGTTTTGCAGACTTCTGCTTTTGGTTTATGTTATCAAGAGACTATTTCCTCCATTTTCTTCCATTCGGAGACTTGTAGTATATTCTTCCTCAAGTGACGAATCTGTATCTTGAAGAGAACAGGTGGTAGAACCACCCTATCAATCGTAGCACACCATAAGAGTCGGATTGGTGTTTCTCCGCCTCCTTCCCTTTAACGGACAGCCCCCGTACTAAATTTTCCTTCTTCAATCCTTGTTGATCCTAACATTTTTCCTGCTTACCATTCTTTAAAATCCCTACACTTGTCTCGATCCACCAACACCTCCTCAGAATACTATTTGATATCAGAGCCAAATCTTTATTCCAATTCCGAAACCCTAATCCTAAACCTTCAATATTTTACCATCCTACCTTTAATCAACAATTCTATATGAAATCTTTCTCCTTCGTAACTGAACCCCTAAAGCGAGGCAAAAATTACCAATGCCACCATGGAAAAATGTTCAAAGAGTGTGGGCTCCGAAAATTCGCGCCCCGTAATCTCTTTGTTATTGAGAGCTTTTTATTTGGTATTTAAATTTTTAGAAGGCATATCGAATTTTAGATAAAAAACCATCCAAAGATTTTGCCCTCATTTTGTGAGGACCTTTTGAATTGGGGTCCAAGGTCTCCCATTAGTGCAAGCCCCTATGATTGATTACCTCTCCAAATAACAAAAGAGCACTTTCGATTAAGGCTAATCATTAAGCGTTGAATGACCAGCATAAAATAACAACATATACAAATTTTATGTTATAAAACTTATCACCTCGAGCTTAAAGCAGCTAGTGGGGGAAATGGTAATGAATCAGATCGAGATCCCAAGGTTCCGTCGCCCAGTTCATCGTGGCATCTGGTATACTTAGAGAATATAGTCGACCCAACCTAACATAATGATTCTTGCCAGTAGCCATGAGTTGTCTCGTCCAAAAGTCTCTTCTAGATCTAGGGAGAATGTTTGTCTAAGGGGATAGATCGTAGCTGACAGAAAACTTTTTGTCAATCAAATGGATCATATGGTTTACAACTTAAATGGTAGAAACTCATAGCATAACATATTTGCGGTCGTAGCCATAATATAATAATTTCATTTGGGCATAAACTATCTAGTCAAGGGATTTGACTGTAAACACTATTTTTTGTGGAGTTGTTCGGTCAAACAATGCAAAAAGAAGACTCGAACCACGTCCTTACTAGCGTAAAATTACATTGAGTGTGAATATATTGATACACTTGATGTAATATTAGCTTTTGTTAGCCAAAATTAATTAAATAATTGTACCTGAAGAACTATTGTCGAGGGTGGATGACATCCGCATTAAGTCTTTATGTGATTGATTTTAATTTAAACATTTTGATCTATTATCTCGAGGGCGGATGAGATTCGCATTAAGTCTTTATGTGATTGATTTTAATTTAAACATTTTGATAAGCTATCTTTAAGACTTTAGGTGATTGATTTTAATCTTGAATATTTTGATTTGTTATTTTGAGAATTTGATTTGAAAATAAATTTAAAAGGTGACCAATCCTATTAATTTTTTCAGTCAACATGATCATCCTCAGGAATTTGATTGCATGATTTGAACCTTGTCGATTTTACATCTTAATTATAATGGAT